TTTTTTTTTTTTTTTTGAGGAATTTTAATTTGTTATTTTGTTTCATGTGACAAATCAATGTCATCTATACTGAGGAATCACGGTGTGCTGGGTCAATGATTTCTCTTCTTCTAACCCTCGTGGGAGGAGAACAGGCATAGACATATCTAGGACCGTCCCTACCCATTGGCTCTCCTGACTTCCACATCACAATCTTGTAAAGAAAGTTTGTGCACATACAAACTTTACCTAAAAGCTGGTAAGAAATGGTCCGACTCATAATTGGACTACATTTTGCAATTTGGAACTATAGATTTTAGCCCAGGTTAAAAACAACGTATCTGCCATTAGTTTCCCTATGCACATAAGTGTTTTTCCAGAAAAGCCAGAATTTATTGTTCCAAATTGCAAAATGCAGTCCAATTGGTCTACACTAAAGCTACGTCAAAGAGTTATACTGCTAAAAATTAGCATTTTGTGAACACAGCAGTGTATTTTGAACACTACGGTTGAGATACAAATGATGTATTGTGGCACACGTGTGTTCAGCTAACACTCAATCATTTCCCATCTGGGTTTCAACAATGGCTCAAAAATCCGAACGTATTGCTGAAATTCGGAAATTCTTTTGGCATTTTCTATTATCTTCTTATCTAATTGCATTTCATTTTTGACACAGACTTGATTATTATTTTATGGAAAATTCAGCATTGACATAGTTTGCAAAATAGTACAAGTTTTTTAAGCATCAATGACTAAGGTACCTACCAAAAGTATTCAACAATTGAAATACTTTGCAAGTGGTAGATGTTGAGACCTCTGCTTTTCCAGCAAGGTCGTGTGCTTTTGCTCCATCCCCGGCAGTTATGCGGTCTTTACTTTTTAAAATTGCATAGTTAGGATTGTTAACAACATCAAAAACCTGTTTGGTTTTCCCTTCGATCACCAATTTTCCTGGAGTGTATTCTGAAAAAAAAAAACAAAAAATTTTTTTAAAAAATACTATTTTTGCAATCTTTAAAATTCCAATCAAAACTTAGACACAGTCGAAGGATGCAAGGACACATTATGAAACGAGACTTCAAGAAAAATCTCTTTGATTAAGTCCGGGATGTCTTTGACTAAAATTACTTTTTACAAATTTCTCTCACCTTCCAACAAACGATCCAAAAAATGCACCGAGAGAAAGATAAATTTCTACGCGTCATTTTTTAACTACTTACAGAGTTTTCAGATTTCTTCTCTCAGGTTGTGAATGGACAATACTAAGCAGCAGAGAAACATTTGAAGGCTTTGACTTTTTCGTTTTATTTTTCTAGATTTGAACTAAAACTGGTTTTCTCTGACAAGAAATTTATGCAACGCAGACTTTTTTCTTGTGGAAAATTCAAATTTTGTTCGTCTTAGAAATGTTAATCCTTCCTTAAAGGCAGAGCCACGTGAGGAAAATTCAACAGTTATAGATTTTATACGATGGTTGTGCACTAAGGTGTTAGAACTGAACATTTTTGTTTATGTTTCATTCAACAAGAATCGTTGTATAAAAATTGCATCATTCGAATCATAATTTGTGACTGATTTATTTAATCTCAAATAATCTACTCTCTCCTTCTAAATCTACATTTTATTCTAATTTTCAGCATTTTCAGACATGAAAGCCAACCTAAATTCTGTGCACAAAAATTCAAAATTCGCATACATTTTTCCTGCACGAAAGTGCAGCAAATGAGCATTTTCATATTAACCGGCATTCATATGAGAAGCTTAAATTTAATGGGTCGTAACAAACATTTTTGAGATAATAATCCATTCACGTACTAACGTGCATATAGGAGAAGCTTTACATGTGCGTATCCAGGAGGGATATTTAACGCCCGACGCTAAGTAGTAATTTCCAAAAATTGCGAATTACGCGGAAGGCGTCGGGACTATGGGCTGTGGGGCAGTTTTCTTGTGACACCTCAAAACAGAGGCATTGTAGTTACAAACCTATACTGCCTGAAGGTACTGATATAATTAATAAATTTTTCTTTTTACGTACATTTTTCCAGGTATCTAAAAATTTGCTTTGCTAACAAGTACTACCTATGTGAAAAGTTGTTGAGTCGCATGTTGCATCTAATTATAATTATGAGTGATAAAACGTGAGCCAAACATGCATAGTTTTTTACAACTTTATTTTTCAGGTGCTAATGCATTTCAGGACTCAGTCCCATCATTAGAACAATGAATCTTTAGGTGATGCTCTGGTGATGGGACTGAGTCCTGAAATGCATTAGCACCTGAAAAATAAAATTTTAAAAAATTATGCATCTTTGGCACACGTTTTCATAACTCAGATTATCTATTCTTGGTGCTAAAATTCAATTCATATTACCTTTAGCCATATTGGAGAAAACCCTCTTCAAGTTCAAGACACACCAATGTAAAACTAATACTGCGCTCGTAACGACACAAGTCCTCTATTTACGAACAATCCCCGAAAACCGTCGAGGAGAAAAACATGCGCGAGCGTCACGGAGGTTTCCTGAAAAACAGAACGAATTAGAGCACCGGACAAACAGAAAAACACAACTAGAATTATCGCATGCTTTCGTTACGATTATGGCAGAGCTGCGCTTTCACTGGTTCAAGCTAAAGTCCGAAAAAAGACCCCTTTGCTCGTGCACGGCGGGCGTTTATCAGTGACCGTGTTATCGCACATCAATAGCTGCAAAATCGCAGAAAATCTTCACTGACTTTCGCCCAAAATATTTTGGAAAATTAACCGGACAAAACAAGCGAGGACCTTGCTCATGAATGTACCGCTGAGGTATGATTGGGCTAATTTTGCAATCAGAAATTACTGTTTCTGGCTCATTTTAGAAACAACATACGTGCCTTTGCCTTCCCTAGGCAGATAGGTGCTTTTATGAATGAGCTAGAAATTGTAGTCCCCCATATGCAAAATTTGGTAGATTTCTTAGTGGGAACTCAATTTAAAGTCGAAAAACATCTTATAAATCAAATTTTATTCCAACTTAAAGTACACGAAGGATGGTAATTCAAAAACGGATAAGCGTCATCAGGCGTTGTGCTAAGATTATGCATAGTATTTCTCCCTATGAAAGGATTTAAATGCTTTCATTAAGTGAACATCTAAAACGAAATTTTCTCTATCTTTTAGTTTAATTTTCACAACGGGAATCATTGTTCTCATGCCACAGCATTTTTGTAGAATGAGAGAACCAGTTGCGCAATCTTAGCAACACTTGACCCAGGTTTTGAATGTACACTGTCCATAATATGACGTATAAAAAAGGGATTTTATCTAATGAGGTTCATATCCTTGGACTTTATTATCCTAGAGTATATCTAACGCTCTCTCTACTATTCTCTTGCTTGCCTTGAGAATACGTATACGAGGTGGGAGATTGAAATTTATTATTGAGAACTTCAAGTCAACGCTGAGTTATCCGTAAATTGGAACGAAAGGGCCATTACGAGCATTTTTAGAAAATCGAGTTGGTCGTATTCTATGTGTGAAAACATTCGGTAGTGATATTTACCGATGGACACCAGAGGCAAAACTTTAAAAATTTCGAGCTGCGTGGGAAGCAGTGGCACCGCCGGTCGAAACGAAAAAAAACTCAGTTACGACTTTTCTGCACTAAGTTTCCGTTATCATTCCACACTCGGATGCCCCGCTTCGTGACGTCATAGGAGGCGCAGCGTTCACGCTCGCGAGCAGACCTGCCTCCGCCCGGATCACGCTCGGAGATGAACTTTGATTGTTATCTGCAGCGCCAAAACAAGCGTAAGAAAAATACGAATATTTAATTCTGATTGGTTCATGGAATCGTGGAAGGTATCGTAGGGGACCTGTATCATTTGATTTGAACCATCATTACGTCTCGCGACTGTACAACCGAATAAGCGCGCGAGATTCCGCTATAATTTCGACCGTAAAAGGAACTCGTTGTATACATTTCTCCCGCCGATTCGTTTTTATTTTCTTTTAATTTTTAGATTTACTTCACACGTTTTTTAT